GGTGTATGAATTATTTGTGTTGTTATTACAAGTGTTGCTGTGACCCCCTAGGAAAAGGTTATGCCCCGCCCTGTACTTCTGCTTTCCTAAACATAGAATAAAGCTTGCTATAGATGAACATTTGAGAATTAGGGATCTGTTATTTGCTTGGGATGGCTTTCTGCTGACCACATTTTGAAAGACAGACTCCTTTAGCCTATAGTAGAACAAAGATGGCCATTAGGTTTCTTACCTATAAAAAACATTGTGTCTGACATAGGTTCCTTTACTATTAGTTTTTGGGCATGTGTGTTCTTTAAAGGGTGAAGAACATGCTGCTGAAATCCAACTGTGTTCTGGAAGCTTTTGGCAATGCGAAAACTAACCGTAATGACAACTCCAGCCGCTTTGGAAAATATATGGATATCAATTTTGATTTCAAAGGAGACCCCATAGGTGGACATATCAATAATTACTTGCTGGAAAAGGTAACTAGGGTTTTCATGCTCCTCCACAGATAACTTTCAGAAATTAGTAACATTTACTATATTATAAGCATCTGGATTCATAATAGAAAACTGAAGTGAGTTTTGGAGATAATGCTAAGTGTATGAGAAAGTTGGCTTTAACTTGCAAAACTTTCAGTAAATATAATTGTAACAGAGACCATAGTTTTAAATAGATGATCATGTGGTTGTAAGGAAATTTACTATTACATGTTTCGTGGCCTGATGGGAAACCTCAGTTAAAAATGGAATAGATGATAGGGCACTTTTTAAGTGCTGTCTAGCTTTCTGTTTTGTGACTATATGCAGAATTATTTTTTAAAGCAACAGCATTTGTTGCCCTTAAACATCCATACAGAACATACACTGTATGTTTATTTTCCCTTTTCTCCTCCCCTCTCTCTGCTTTGTTACTGTGTCAGAAAGATAATCTTGGAATAAGCACTGAAGGTTTGATGATTTAGGAGTTACTTTTCAGGTATTCCTCTCATCTCCCAAATTTAAACCATGCAACAGTTTTTGTTTCAAAATGTTACTGTTAATAATAAACTCCCACTTTAGCTGTGTCTTGCCCTCTGATATCTGTCTGATTTACCTTTCCATCCTTTTGTAATAGGACAATTTCTGGCTAAACTATTATTCAAAAAAAAGTTACTTATAACCCATCCATGAAGTTATGATTGCAGCATACCCACCCGTCCACCCAGTAATGTGACCACATCTCCAGCATTTGACACTTGCATACTGCAGTCATGTGACCACATTTTGTTTTTGGATTTTTTTTTACATTTTCCTGCAGTAAATCTCTATTGAATAAATGGGCTCATATTTACAACAACCAAATGGTTCACTTAACAGATTAAGATTAATGAAACATTAACCAGTAACATTACTGAAGTCCTGCTATTACTTGTCAAACTGATTTATCCCAGAAGGTATTCTACCCTTGGTCCAGAGGTGGGTTTCTGCCGGATTGGGCAAACTGGTAGTGGTGATGGCGGGAGGTTCTGTATACCCACTCAGACACTTCTGCACATGCACAAAAGTGTTGTGTGAGCATGCAAGCACGCACGCACGCACGAATGAGCCGGTAGTAAAATAAATTGAAACCCACCACTGCCTTGGTTGTACTGAATAAAGTTATTTAAAAGACTAGCTGCCCTTTGGAGGGATTGCCAACACAATGGCACTAAATTTGGTTCGTTGCAAATGGTTGTTATGCCACTGTTGTACTGCAAGTCTCTCATTATTTGTTTAATTTATTTAAAGGACCTATATGGCTTCCCATCTCTCACATGACTCTGGATGGCTAATAGCCATAGCACTCAACAAATAAATAAACTATCATCATCATCTATTATATTACATTACATTGTAATAACACAAATTGTGTAATCCCATCTCCCTTTAAGCCTTCTTCCTCCCAAGAGATTTATTATTTAAGTAGGGCAAAATTAGGTTTAAAAAGAGCCTGTTTTCGATACTTCACTTAATGTAAACTGTTTGCTTACGATAGTACAGATTAAAAAATAAATTAGCAACCTTGTTTGGTCATGCTCTTTCCCTGTTCTTCTAGTCCCGGGTGATTGTGCAGCAACTAGGAGAGAGAAACTTTCACTCCTTCTACCAGGTGAGTTGCAACTATGAAATTAGGCACTGTGTGGGTGACCACTTGTAAATTCAGAGAAAAGCACCCTATTCTTATTTGTAATGTTCTTCATTGTTTTATCCTATCAGTTTGTTACATCCTTCTTTCTCCCCTAGTTCATTCACAGTGCAAAGGACAAGTCTTTGTATAGCCATTTTGCTGTAGAAGATAATTTATTCCACTCTGAGGCTCAAAGACTGACTCTTCAGATTTCCTTTATCCAAATGTAATGTTACTTGGTGTTTTTATTTTCCTTGGAAGAGAAGATCATACTGGTTCTAGCCTGCAGATGGAAATAATTTCCATATATACTTCATGGTTTTGCCTTCTGTCCCTGCTAGCAATTATGGTAACTGGATGCCTGTCTTGGATACCTCTGAAACAGCTAATAGTGCCTTAGGGTAGCCTTTTACAAAAGACAATGTCTGTTTCTTTTGGAAAGTAGGATTCTGTATTACTTTACTTTTATGCCAGGCTACCATATTGGTAAAGCATCACTGTTTATTGTTTTACTGGAAGAGTGTGAAGACTGTGCCACTGAATTTATTTATTTGAGAAGTGTATATGATCACTTACATTATATAAAACAACCTAGATGGCTAGTAAACCCACAAATAATAAAAACACAAGATTAAAATTCCATGCCATTCAACATCTTTTCAAAATAATAATAATAAAGCTGGACTCACTTCCCATTATGCTCCAGTGAAAGAAGCCAATTTCAATGTCATTTCAACATATCATATGTTGATCATATATGATCATATAATATATTCAATCCCCCCCGCTAACATATCTTGGTTTAGATGAAACAATGAACATGTTTAAATATTTTGGGAAGCTAGCCATTCTGAACCCCACCCCACCCCAGAAGAAAGTTTCCTAATCCTGAAAAAAACACGAGTTCTTGAATATGTAATAACTTAACTCCATTAAAAGTTGCATCTCTCATAACAGGATAAAAAAAGACGAAAGGAGAAACAGAAGTCTTTAAATGAAGGCTACCCCTTAGCTGAGATTCCAGAAGGAAGATCCTAAAGATAAATCAAGTATCAGTAGCATTGAGTGGTAATCAGTAGCAGATAGTTGGGGTTTCCTTCCCAAAATACCCTTATGTAAGAGAGAATGTAACTTGTCAGGAGTGACTAGTAAAGGAGCAGCTGTTACAATGCTTGCTTTCTTCACTGTTGAATATTATATTCGTTCAATGTCCTTTATACCACATGCTTGAGATATGGACTATCCTATCAAGACAGTGTTTTAGATGGCAATAATATCAATAATACATAGCACCAAAAAGGCAATTGATGTAAGGCGTCTTTGCTGCTTTCTGGGTTTGGTAGTTTTCTTGCAGATGTTTCAGTACCCAAACTAGGTAACATCATCACTGCTAGCAACTAGGATTCATGATGTTACTTAGCTTGAATAATGAAACATCTGCAGTGGGGGGGAAATCAACCTTAGAGAGCACCAAGGACCCTCATTTCAACCCTGAGCTACCAATACTCTCCTTTATCAACACAATTGGTTCAAGTAACTGATCCTTATCTTTTTAGCTTCTTCAAGGTGGCTCTGAGCAGCTTCTGCGATCTTTGTATCTACATAAAGATCTATCTGCATATAGCTATATTAGTGCTGGAACTCAACCAAAGGTGAGGAAGAATCATCTTTCCCTTTGAAACTATTGCATGGTAAATTATTCTATTTCTTATCCACCTGTACATTTGGAGATCTGATTACATTTAGGTTAACCTATTCAATGCTTACAAGTAATTTTGATTGGCTATCTTAAAAACTGCTAAAAATGAATGATCCAGTATACTTCCAATATTAATTGATCAACTACCAAATGAAATCTTTTATTAAGGTCCCAGACCAAGATTCAATGGGTGAAACATAATAATTTAAAGAACTAAAAAATATAAAATACACAGAGTCAATTACATCTTTAGCAAACTTTCCAGGGCATTCTGAGGAATCTTTTAGATGAAGTATCTCAGGTATCTGATTTCTTTTACATGAAGAAACTAAAAATATATAATCTCATTCAGCAATTCCAAGGCCACATTTTAACAGCAAAATGTATGGCTAATTTAATAGCAAAATGGCTGAAAGGTTTTTATTGTGTAATTTATTTTCATTATTACATTAAAACTCTGATTCCTGTAATTTTTAAATAGTGCACCATAGGACAGGTTTTGAACCAGGATACCTCAAATGGGATAACATACACAACCTGTCCAAAATCATGACTTGACTTCAGTGTAATTGAAATTTGACAAGTTTTATAAAACATTTTATACCATAGAACTGTTTATGACATAATGCAAAATGTCATAAAACATTTCCGGCGCTAATGTTTGACAGTGCTATACAGTTGAACATGGGATAATTTCAAGACACATAAAACTCTGAATGTATCCCAGCTTTTCCAGTTAAGGCACTGCATTAGAAGCTCTGTCATTGTTGCAGTCATTGAGGAATCTGGTCAGGAAATATCTTTGAAAAGATGACCCAAAAGATGATGTGTTATCTAATTATGACTATGAATGTAGACTTGAATTAGATATTTAACAGTGCTCTGGATATTACAGGTAGTAATCAAAATCAATGGGGAAGCCAGATTCACTTAACAACTGTGTAACTAACTTAACAACAGCAGTGATTCACTTAAGAACTGTGGTAGGAAAGGTTGTAAAATGGGGCAAAAGTCACTTAAAAATCTTACTTAGCAACATAAATTTTGAACTCAATTCTGGTCATAAGTCAAGGACTACCTGTATTGCATCATACATTACCTTACATGTATTATACTGTATAAAGTTACCTATTTTTATTTGGAATTCTGTGCTAAGTTCTTTTTTGCTCCTTGACAACAGTAACAAAAAAAGTTTCCAAATTTGGCCAAATTGGTTTAAAATTCTCCTTGCCATTTTTTTTTATTAGGGAAAAAATTTCAAACATTCAGCTGAAATCTTTTGAAAACTTTATATTATTGGGAGCCAGCTATCAACTTTTCTTCAATTCCTAATTAACATTATCTTGTTTTGTATGTTTGACCTTGGATAGCAGGAAAGGATGATAATTTATATTCTCTTTTGCAACTGTGGTTTACTCCTTTTTTCTTTGATTTATTCCAACCTCTCCCCCCATCACCCCCTAGATTTTTAAAAAAACATTATTTGGATTCATTATGAATATTTTAATAGATTAAATAGGCTTATTCTCTTGCTTTTCTTTTTCCTATCAGCTAGTTCATGTAAAAAAAATTTTACTACTATTACTAATACTTCATTCTGTGTTTTGGCTGAAATATTTCCATGTAGGGAGATAAGTGTCTTATTTTCCATTGCTTAACATTGTATTCTTAGTGTAAAAGCAAGAGAGTGACTTCATGTTTTTGTCTGTTATTTTTTTTAGTGTACCATTAACGACAGTGCAGATTTCAAAGCTGTTGCTGATGCAATGAAAGTGATTGGATTTGGACCAGAAGAGGTTCAAACAGTGTACAAAATCCTTGCTACCATTCTGCATTTGGTAAGTGGATCTCTCTGCTGTTAGACTTATGGAAAGAAGGTTATGTTGTAGGGTGATATGAGGAATATCAGGAATAAGAGGGTAATAGTTATATTTTGCATTTATACATGCATATTTATTTGGATAAGAGACTTTAATTATATTTAAATATATTAAAGATCATAGACATTCAGATTCCAGATTTATTTCTAAAGATAGGCAAGCTAATAGAATGAATCAGGTTTCTATGGTTATAACGAAAATACAGGTACTCCCTGACTTAAAAGTGTTCATTTAGCCATTTTTCGAAGTCACAATGTCACTTACACTTACAACCATCCCCACAGTCCTATGATTACAATCTGGGCATTTGGTGGCCAACTCACCTTTATAACAGTTGCAGTTTCTTGGAATCACATGATTGGCATTTGCAGTCTTCCCCACCGGCTTTCAACAAGCAAAGTCAATGGGGAAGCCAGCAGAGAACGTTACAAGTTGCAATCATGTGTTATCTCAGTTAACAACCTCAGTGATTCACTTAAATGACCACATGTGTGGTCAAGTGATGCCTTACTTAACCACTATACAACTTAATCATGAGTTTTCTGGTCTAATTGTGGTTGTAAGTCAATGATGACTTATAGAAATTTCCAATATTCTTTAGTGGCTATGCTCTTTTATTAATGTTAATAAATAAGGTGTAACTTTTCCAATATTATCAGTAAAACAATGGAATTTGGTTCCCTAGCAAGAAATGCTTTAGTTTAACATGGAGATGGAATAGCTATTATCTTAGTTTGGGATGAATCAAGGAAAAAGCCAGAGTTTTCAAGCAGATACAATGTCTAAATTGTGCTTGATGCTGAATTGTTGAGGAAATAAACAAGTTTCTTTCATATTTTTTCCAGGGCAACTTAAAAATTTCTGTGGATGGTGAAACACCAGTGATTGAAAATGGCAAGCTAGTATCTGTCATTGCAGATCTGCTCTCAACTAAAGCTGATACAGTAGAGAAGGCCCTGCTTTTTCGAACTGTAGCTACTGGTCGTGATATCATTGATAAGCAACACACAGAGCAAGAAGCCACTTATGGCAAAAATGCATTTGCAAAGGTGAATATAGATTCCATCCTATAGATTTGATATCTTCATTTTTAAGTGAAAGTTAATATGATTGATTCAAAAAGTTCAAAAGTAGCCACGCACATAAATCCATACATAAATTATCACTTGCAATCCATGAACAATTTATGTAAAAAAGGAAAAAGGTGACTTTCTCTCCAGTTATCAAAAATCTGTGATCAGCAAGTGCCTTATTTCTTGTGACTAGAAATTGAAGTATTGTTTGAAGATTGTCTGAATTGCCAGTTATCTTTGGGAGGCTAGTGATTGAAATTCTTTGGATATTTATGAAGTCTTTGGAATTCCCAAAGTTTATGGATGATGTAAAAGTCATACTATGAGAAAGTGTGAGATAGAGTATGAGAAGACAAGTATATTTTTGAGTGTGCAGGGAGATTGGAACACACACACTTGTGGCTACTTTGAATATAATCAATGAAGTTAAGTTGTATATCATCAGTGAGTTAAGACATTGGTGGAGGAAGAATCTGGAACTGGCTGACTTGTTTAATGAACTAAATGTCCTGAAAATAACCCTATTTCAATTTTAATAATGCTATAGCAAAAGAACAGCTTTATTTNGTGAGTGAGTGATATTCCTTCCTTCCTTCCTTCTTTCCTTCCTTCCTTCCTTCCTTCCTTCCTTCCTTCCTTCCTTCCTTCCTTCCTTCCTTCCTTCATTCATTCATTCATTCATTCACGTTAAATGGCTACTCATCTAGTAGATGTAATCCTGGGCAGCTAAAACAATAAAAACAATTATTAGTGAATTAAAAAGCCAAGGGTGATCATAGAAGATGAACCCAATAAGACAATACAAAAATGGGACCTACCTATCCCTTGTCCTGGAATACATAGAGTGCTTATTGGAAGGCCAGCAGAGTCAAGGCCAACAACAACAAGCAGGTTTCCAAGGTCCCATAAGAGGACACTCTTTAATTGGAGGGATCCAGAACATACTCCTTCTGTTAGATCTAGAGGGATGGATAGAAACAACCAGAGAGAAATATTCCACAAAAAAAGCCAGCCCCGTGATGTGAAAGGCTTTAAAGGTGTAACAACCAGCATCTTCAATTCCATCTGGAAACACACTTGCAGCCAGTACAGTTCCCATAGCAAAAATGTAACATGGATGTACAGTATTGAAGTGTATCCAGAACTGCCGGTATTTTCAAATTCTGGATCAGCTACTGTTTCCAGATGATCCTCAATGGCCACTCCATGTATTGCACTAATAAACTTGAGAGGTGACTAAAGTCCGTGTGTTGAATAGTGTCTCTTGATCCAGGAAGGGATGCAACTGAGATCAAAAAACAAAGTTATGGAGAAGCCTTCCTCATTATAGCTGCCCTCTGTTCTTCAAAAAGAAATTGTGAGTCCATGAGGACCTCAAATTGCATGTTGGATCTATTTGAGTCCAAAGATCATAAGATGGAAAAACCCTGAATCCAGTGGACCCTAAAATCCATAGCCCCTCAGTTCTTCCCCATCCAGAGGCTTACAACCTCCAGACACTGAGAAATATTATATATCAGATGTAATTTGTAGGTTTTTGTAAATATAACCTGTAAAATTTATTTGCCAGATGCTCTCCCGTTCCACTTTATTTTTTATTTTTTAAATCTAGGACTTGTTAGTCCAATACTGTGTACTTTTCTTTCCAACTTTTATAAAGATTTTCAAGGTTTTGCCCAGTTTTCCTCTTGAACTGGAAACTGAGCATGAAGACACAGAGTTTAATATTAATTACTTGAATAATAAAGAAGTTCAAGAAGCTCAAAGCTCACTTGTTCTCTTTAGCTAGCGAAATAGATGAAATTGTGTTTTGATGCCTGTCTTTCATTTTTGCCCTCAGGGGAGAGCGGAGCAGGTAAAACAGAAGCAAGTAAATACATTATGCAGTACATAGCTGCCATTACCAATCCGAGTCAGAGAGCTGAAGTTGAAAGGTAAAGGCGCTTGCTATGGAGGGGGGAATGTTTGATTTAATTGAATGCAAAATATAATTGCTCCATAGGCAAAAGTAGAAATGAAGGTGTCACAATAGGTGCAAATGTTTAGCTTCTCAAGAGCTCTGGTTAAAAAAAAAAAGACCAAAAAGAAAAAAGAACACAGAAAACATTGTATCAAATGTTCAAGGTACATTATTGGGCTCTAATATTGAATATTGGCCTAAATCCTTTAACAGCAACTTTCTGTTGCATAAGAAGTGCTTACATCCCCAAAAGTAATTGCCCTTGACTGGTTTATTATCTTCTGAGAATTTTAATGTGTCGGGTTTAAAGTGGATTGAATTTCAGGCAATCTGGATACAGCTGCTTTCACTTTCTTCTTGCTATTTCTGCTATTAGACAGGACCTTAATCTCAACAATATTATCTATATATTTTGACATGATGATCTATTATCTGAAGCCTCTAAGGCCTTGAACATAATTTTGGAATTCATAGTCGGCTTCACAGAGAGAGAAGGAGCTTTTAATACTACAAGGATGGGAGTGACTAGACCACTGTACAGGGTGGGGCATAACCTTTTCCTAGGGGGTCACAGCAAGATCGACAGCAGTTTACAACTTCTGC